GGGGTTGGACTTGGCCCCCTAGTTCCAGTGAAGGGAACTCTTAAGGCGTCAGCATACCAAGACATTTTGGACAATTTCATGCTCCCAACCTTGTGGGAACAGTTTGGGGAAGGCCCCTTTCTGTACCAACATGACTGCACACCAGTGCACAAAGCAAGGTCCATAAAGACATGGAGTAGCCAGTTTGGGGTGGAGGAACTTGACTGGCCTGCACAGAGTCCTGACCTCAACCCCATAGAACACCTTTGAGATGAATTAGAGCGGAGACTGCGAGCCAGGCCTCCTCCCCCGACATCAGTGCCTGACCTCACAAATGCACTTCTGGAAGAATGCTCAAACATTCCCATAGACACCCTCCTAAACCTTGTGGACGGCCTTCCCAGAAGAGTTGAAGCTGTTATAGCTGCAAAGGGCGGGGCCAACTCAGTATTGTACCCTACGGACTAAGACTGGGATGCCATCCATTAAAGTTCATGTACGTGTAAAGGCAGGGGGCCCAATACTTTTGGCAAACTAGTGTATACTGTATCACAGTGTGGTAAGTCTGCCCTTTTTGCTTCGTAACAAAACATGATGGTGTAAAACAGCATTTACTATAAGGTGAGAAGAGAATCTCTACCGAGGTTCAGTTCTGACTATGTCATTCCCACTTGCCGTGGGGGGGGGGTCACTCCGTCTGCTGAGGGGTCTTGAGCAAAGAGCCAATCACCACACGTATAAAACAGTATTTACTATTAAAAATGTACTGTAACTTGCTCCTTTAAGAATGTGGTTCAAAAACAGAGATGGGTAAAGCCATTACCCAGTTTATATGTGTTGTCATTGTTGTATTAATTCTTTTAGCTTTCATTACCTCTCCATAAAACTGCAAAATAATTTTCAACTTCTTTGATACTAATATTTTTTTTTCCTAACTTGGCCGTGGGCATAAACTATAAAAAAGAAATTAAGAAATAAAAATTGGAAATATAATTTGGATAAATAAAACTGAAACTGAGACTTGTATAGAGGTTTTTACTATTCTATTGAGGATATGAAAAGGTCACAAACTTGAATAGATTTAAAAGAAACAAATGTTGACTTTTTGATGCTGTCTGTGGATCCAGGAATGACATTATCTATAAGCTCTTAAACGTTATCTACTACAAAAGGTGAATATTGTCAACCCCAGCAAAAAAAAAAATTAACATGGTGCCACAATATGGAATAAAGTAAGCATTTCCCATGTGTTTAAGGAAACCTCTGGCTTTGTCCTACAAAATATTCTGACTTCTGGAGAGTGAAGAGCCTTCTTTAATGTCACTTTAATGCACTCATTAAAGTGGAATTCCAGACTAACTAAGTTTAATATGGCTCCCAACCAGGGGCGGACTGACAACTCATGGGGCCCTGGGCAATAGGGGATCATGGGGCCCCTGTGTCCTTGCCCAAACTCAAAAAAGCCTATGAAAAAGGTACCAGGGGCATCTCATGGGGCCCCCTACTGACCCCGGGCAGTGCCCGAGTTTCCAAATGGTCAGTCCGCCCCTGCTCCTAACCCCCTTCTAACTCTTATACTAACTATCCTGTAGAAGGAAGATACTTGTACTTACCTGTTCTCATGGTCCTCTAGTCCGGTCACATCATTGGCACCCAGCAGTGACTTGAGGAGAGAGAAGGGGCAGCCGATAATGGATGCCCCAAATTAAGCCTATGGGTAACGTCACCACCCAGGAGTTCCATCCATTGTCGGGGCTCTCTCCTCTCCCCTGAATCCATTGCTTGGAGCCAATGACATGACCGGACCAGAGGACCATGAGAACAGGTAAGTACAATCTTATGATCACCCATGACCAGACCGCAGTGCCCTGAGATAGGTAAGTATACAGTTGCAAGAAAAAGTATGTGAACCCCTTGGGATTACGTGGAGTTTTGCATGAATTGGACATAAAATGTGCTCTGAACGTCATCTAAGTCACAACAATAGAAGAACACAGTCAGCTGAACATAATACTACACAAACATTAGATGTTGCCATGGTTTAATTGCACATAACATGTAAACATTCACAGTGCAGGGAGGAAAGAGTATGTGAACCTTTGGACTTAATAACTGGTTGACCCTCCTTTGGCAGCAATAACCTCAACCAAACGTTTCCTGTAGTTGCAGATCAAACCTGCACAACGATCTGGAGTATTTTTGGACCACTCCTCTTCACAAAACTGTTTCAGTGTAGCAATATTCTTGGGATGTCTGGTGTGAATCGCTCTCTTAAGGTCATGCCACAGCATTTCAATGGGGTTGAGGTCAGGACTCTGACTGGGCCACTCCAGAAGGCGTATTCTGTGCTGTTGCAGCCATTGTTTTGTTGAATTACTTGTATGCTTTGGGTCATTGTCCTGTTGCATCACCCATCCTCTGCGAAGCTTCAGTTGGCGGACAGATGGTCGTACGTTTTCCTACAAAATATCTTGATAAACTCTGGAATTCCTTTTCCCATCAATGACAACAATCCGTCCAGGCCCTGAGGCAGCAAAGCAGCCCCAAACCATGATGCTCCCTCCGCCATGTTTCACAGTGGGGATGAGGTTTTGATGTTGGTGTGCTGTGCCTTTTTTTTCTCCACACATAGTGTTGTGTGTTCTTCCCAAACAACTCAATCTTGGTTTCATCTGTCCACAGTATATTTTGCCAGTAGTGCTGTGGAACATCCAGGTGCTCTTTTGCAAACTTCAAACGTGCTGCAATATTCTTTTTGGACAGCAATGGCTTCCTCCGTGGTGTCCTCCCATGTACTCCATTCTTGTTTAATGTTTTCCTTATTGTAGATGAGTCAACAAAAATGTTAGCATGTGCCAGAGATTTCTGTAGGTTTTTAGCTGACACTCTGGGATTCTTCTTTACCTCATGCAGCATTCTGCGCTGTGCTCTTGCAGTCATTTTTACAGGACGACCACGCCTAGGGAGAGTAGCAACAGTGCTAAACTTTCTGCATTTGTAGACAGTCTGTCTTACCGTGGACACATGAACATCAAGGCTTTTGGAGATACTTTTATAACCCTTTCCAGCTTCATGCAAGTCAACAATTCTTGATCGTAGGTCTTCTGAGAGCTCTTTTCTGCGAGGCATGGTTCACATCAGACAGTGCTTCTTGAAACCAGTAAACTCAAAACAGGTGTGTGTTTTTTAAGGGCAGGACAGCTGTCAGCAACACATCCAATATCATCACACTGATTGGAGTCAAGGTTGGCTCACTCCTGGCTCCAATTAGCTCTGGGAGAAGTCATTAAGCTAGGGCCTCACATACTTTTTCCTCCCTGCACTGTGAATGTTTACATGTTATGTGCAATTAAACCATGGCAACATCTAATGTTTGTGTAGTATTATGTTCAACAGACTGTGTTCTTCTATTGTGACGTAGGTGACATTCAGAGCACGTTTTATGCCAAAACTCCACGTAATCCCAAAGGGTTCACATACTTTTTCTTGCAACTGTAAGCATCTTCCTTCTATAGGGTAGCTAGAATAGGAGTTAGAAAAGGATGGGAGCAGTTTAAGGCATAGAGCCTGAAATTCCAGTTTAAGAAGACTCCAGATGAACATCACCATCAGAACCCGCTTTGGTCAATGATGTGCTGCAACCACTGCAAAAAGCAATGAGATCCAAAAAGAAAAAACAGTTCTCAATTAAAATAATTGTTTGATACGCAACAATTTGGCAAACTAAATGTCATCCATTGCAGGTTTCCATCTACTTTAATCTCATCTGAGAAGAGCTCATTGCTGCTCTGTGTATAACTCACTTCACCTATAGACCTCTGTATTCATAGACCTTTCTGTGGTCCCCCTTCTGTCATCTGTGATTGTGTTACAATCCCATCATCAAGGTCAATAAGGGCATCAACCCAATGAGTCATAGACATGAAGAGCCATGTAAAATGATAAAATATACACTGATGTTAACTCTTAACAAGCTTCTGAGAGCATACTTTGCTTACACAATCCTTTCACCACTTGCCTACCGGGCACTTATACCCCCTTCCTAACCAGGCCAATTTTCAGCTTTCAGCACTGTTGCACTTTGAATGACAATTGCGCGGTCATGCAACATTGTACTCATATTACATTTTTATAATTTTTTTCTCACAAATAGAGCTTTCTTTTGGTGGTATTTACTCACCGCTGGGTGTTTTATTTTTTGCGGTATAAAAAAAAGAGCAAAAAAAAAAAAAGCTTTCTTTGTTGCTATTATAAAATTTTGCAAACAGGTAATTTTTCTCCTTCACTGATGTGCATTGATCAGGCTGCACTGATAGGCGGGACGGATGGGCACTGATAGGCAGCTCTGATGGGCACTGATAGGCGGCACTGATAGGCAGCTCTAATGAGGTGGCACTGATAGGCAGCACTAATGAGGTGGCACTGATAGGTGGCACTGATAAGCAGCACTGATAGGCGGCACTGATAGCCGGCACTGATGAGCTGGCATTGATGATGGGTACTGATAGTCGGCACTGATGAGCTGGCACTGATGATGGGTACTGACTGGCGGCACTGCTGGGCTTCACTGATGGGCACTGGTGGGTGACACTGGTGGGCACTGCTGGGCACAGGTGGGTGGCACTGCTGAGCACTTGTGGGCGGAACTGGTGGGTGGCACTGCTGTGCACCGATCATCAGGGCACTGATCATCATAACTGTAATTAGTTACACAAGCAGGCAGAACAATTACTGTAAATATCTCCATGCAGTTCTTTCATCACATTAACACTTCCAAATGATGCAACACTTCTTACAGAATACAGAACCAAGTATCATTTTGTGGTGCTAAGACATTTGTATGGCATTTGTTAATGATAAAAGAAGAAAAGCAGTAAAATAGATCGCCCAGCAACAATAGATTCCCCCAGCAGAAATAGATCCTTCCAGCAACAATAAACTCTGCCCAGCAACAACAGACCTCCTCAGTAACAAAATACTACTCTAGCAACAATAAATGACCCAGAAGCCAGCAACAATAGACTCCTTCCCAGGGGCGGACTGAAAACTTATGGGGCCCCCGGGCAATAGGGGATCATTGGGCCCCTGTGTCCTTGCCCAAACTCAAAAAAGCCTATGAAAAAGGTACCAGGGGCATCTCATGGGGCCCCCTACTGACCCCGGGCCCTCGGGCAGTGGCCGAGTTTCCAAATGGTCAGTCCGCCCCTGCTCCTTCCCCAACAATCGATCCCTGCCAGCAACAATTGACCACCCCAGCAACATAAGACCCTTCAGCAACAAAGGATACCCCGCCAGCAACAATAAACCCCCACTAGCAACAATAGACCTGACCAGCAACATTAGACCACCCCATAATAATAGATTCCCTAGCAAAAATAGACTTTGCTCAGCAACAATAGATCCCCCCTAGCAACATAAAACTCCTGCCAGCAGCAATAGATGTCCCAGCAGCCTGAAACAATAGACCCCTCCATGAAAGGTAGATCCCTCCCAACAAAACTGACCTCTCGCAGAAAAATAAGACCCCCCCAGTACCAATAGACCCCTCTCCAGCAATAATAGACCTCACCAGCAACAAAAGACTCTCCACCCTGCAACGATAGATCCCCCGCAACAAATTACACCCCAGCATGAATAGATCCCACCAGCAACAATAGATCCCCCAACCAGCATTAATAGACCCTCCAGCACCCCTTGCTATTAACCTCCCTGGCGGTATTCCTGAGTGTAGCTCGGGGTAAAGTTTCAGTACCACAAACGGTAACCCCGAGCTACACTCAGGAATACCTTGCAGCGTTGCTCCGGGATCTCTTCTGCACTTACCTTGTCCTTTGCTCCTGTGATGTCCTCCCTGCAGTGTCCCCGGCAATGTCCTCCGGCCGATACTGGCATCTGTCTTCCGGGTTCCGTTCCCTGTGACGTCGGGACGTATGGGGGACGTAACCAGCGGGAAATTGAAAAATGTTAAAAAGTGACATTCGCTCAATACACTAAAATCACATAGTATAACATTCCTGTATCAACCCATTTCACATACATTTTGTCCCGAGTGCTTTGTCCGGTGCCCTGCCTGCATTTTGTCTGTTCTTTCTGCCTGGAAACTGAGAAACGTCCAAAGCGTCCAAAAAGCGTCCCTTTAGGACAAAATCGGTTTTAGACCGACTAGAGAACAGCGATAGTAAATCAGAACCACTTGCAGAATTGACTGATAATGATTCATGGGGGAAATTCATCATCAGACACTGAAAACGATTTTGCGACTTTGCTCAGCGATGTGCGAACTTGGCGCTATATTTCAAATTTCAGTGTTTTTGGTTTGATTATATTATTGAATTAAATTTATTATTATTATTTTTTATGATTATTTATTAAATTATAATTTATGATTTCGTGTTTCAAATTTTATCATACCCGGGATGTTTACTAGACTCTTGTTCGGACAGATTTCAGGGAGTTATTCCTAAAACTTACAGCCTACAATTAAAAAAACTACATATTTCCATGCAAAAAAATGTACAGCTTTCAGCACAGAAATACTGGCATAATCATACTGCTAGGGAGGCTACATACATTCAGTGCTAGAGGTGTCAGAAATATGTTCCCCCGCATTACCACTGAAAAAATGTCCTGGCCGTGACACTACAAAGTGCAGACACAACATGTGAGCCCATCAATATTAGGTAAGGCTAACAAATGACACATGAAATATAACTACACAAATATCTGGTTAAAACAACAAAAACATTTGCAAGCGTACAATGCCTTTGAATATAATGATTGTAACATCTTATAGCAGAACACCAAACTATCTCCATTGCTTTGCTGCAACATTCCGTCTTCCATTTCCTCTTCATGCACAATGTGAGGGCCGTGTATTTAATGGAAAGAACCTTGATACAAATCAATGCAATCAAAGCAAAGAGCTGCGCTATACACCCCTGTTACCATAATGATTTGTAAAGTGCCATTTTCCTTCAGTTGTTCTTGCTAAAAACTAGCAATTTTCATGTTTCTGTCTGATCAGAAATGTTTTCATTAAACATAAACACAAGCTAGAACGTCTGCAGTCAACAGTCAATGCTGAGCAATATCGGCAAAACAAAAGACAGTCTACAGAATCACGTCAATTGTGGAAGAATATTTGATTCCAGCCAAAAGTCTTCATGAAGCCCAACATGAGTCCAGATTTTGCATAGAGCCAGGAAGGGTTAAAGCCTTTGTCAGATTTTGTCCCCATTGAGGATATTTCACCTTCCTCTAGAGATGAGAAGTGTCGCCAATGACAAAAGGACAATGCACGTCAATGTACAAAAAGCTAACATAAACATGTGCAGAAAGATGGTAAGCGAGCGCTATCTAAGATATCCAAAAAATAGCTGCTGGAACACCAAAAAAGGCAACCAAGAACAAACCTTCCAAACATTCTACATACAAAAAGGTGCAGCACTAGATATACATAAAGAACTGAACAAAATAATATAACAGCATATTAAATGAACATATAGTAATTACAGCTATAGAATCAAGTGCAAAGTCGTATATCACCCTACGGTGAAACAGGTGAATAAAACATCCCAATATAAATGGTGAAAAGCCCACGTGGGGATCCAATAGATGCTAATGAGTGCGTGAGGAGTGAATCCAGTGTACCAAACGGTGGATATAGGATAAATGAAATGCGCACTCACCAGAAGTGCATCAAAAATGAGCATATGAGATTAGCCTGTCTCATCAGGTTAGGTAGTGGTCATCTGCTGCCAGGATAGGGTCAAGGGTCACACACCATCCAGTCTCGTCTAGAGTGGGGTACTCCGAGGACCTTACTGCGTATCACCATCTGGGGTCCCTGTCTGAAGCTTGGTGGTGTTATAAAGAAAAGATCAGCTTCTGTGTCCTGTCAGAAATTAACACATCCTCCCTGGCGGAGATTTCTGCCAAAAGGAAACTAAATTCAGTTGCGTGTCTACAGAATCACGTCAATTGTGGAAGAATATTTGATTCCAGCCAAAAGTCTTCTTGAAGCCCAACTTGAGTCCAGATTTTGCAAAGAGCCAGGAAGGGTTAAAGCCTTTGTCAGGTTTTGTCCCCATTGAGGATATTTCGCCTTCCTCTAGAGATGAGAAGTGTCGCCAATGACAAAAGGACAATGCACATCAATGTACAAAAAGATAGCATAAACATGTGCAGAAAGATGGTAAGCGAGTGCTATCTAAGATTTCCAAAAAATAGCTGCTGGAACACCAAAAAAGGCAACCAAGAATAAACCTACCAAACACTATACATACAAAAAGGTGCAGCACTAGATATACATACAGAACTGAACAAAATAATATAACAGCATATTAAATGAACATATAGTAATTACAGCTATAGAATCAAGTGCAAAGTCGTATATCACCCTATGGTGAAACAGGTGAATAAAACATCCCAATATAATGGTGAAAAGCCCACGTGGGGATCCAATAGATGCTAATGAGTGTGTTGGGAGTGAATCCAGTGTACCAAAAGGTGGATATAGGATAAATAAAAATGCGCACTCACCAGAAGTGCGTCAAAAATGCGCATATGAGATTAGCCTGTCTCATCAATGTTAGGTAGTGGTCATCTGCTGCCAGGATAGGCCTTTCGCCTTCCTCTAGAGATGAGAAGTGTCGCCAATGACAAAAGGACAATGCACAGCAATGTACAAAAAGCTAACATAAACATGTACAGTTGCAAGAAAAAGTATGTGAACCCCTTGGGATTACGTGGAGTTTTGCATGAATTGGGCATAAAATGTGCTCTGAACGTCATCTAAGTCACAACAATAGCAGAACACAGTCTGCTGAACATAATACTACACAAACATTAGATGTTGCCATGGTTTAATTGCACATAACATGTAAACATTCACAGTGCAGGGAGGAAAAAGTATGTGAACCTTTGGACTTAATAACTGTTTGATCCTCCTTTGGCAGCAATAACCTCAACCAAACGTTTCCTGTAGTTGCAGATCAGACCTGCACAACGATCTGGAGTCATTAATTTTTTAGTGCACAAGCCCTCTGTTAAAAAAAAAAAAAAAAAAAGAATTTTTATTTTTTATTTTTATCAAAACCTTTATTATGTTGGAAGTATATACAGGAAATAATATATATCGGAAATGATCTTTTCCCACCATAATAAAAACATTTAAAAGCAGATCCAGTCACACAACGGTGGCCAAAATGACCACCTTGGGTAGAGCTCTTTTTCGTTTTTGATTACTGATCAATAATGAAGACAAGCCATCTATCACAGGACCTTTATACAGTAGATATCGCATACAGAAACCTAAAGTGTCTCCTAGCCATCTATTTCTTTCATCATATTGTAATGACATTTTTAATTAAAAGATTAGTTGGTGCCAGAGACAGATTTAGGTGCTAACCAAGGACTTTGTCTACCCAAATCAATGTTTACAGTTGTCTGATGAAACAAAGAACATTTAAGTAGAGAAAATGTGTATTTCTGTCTGTGCCTTCTTTTAGTTGGCAAAGTTGTAGGCAGGTGCAGTCTAGTGTCTCCACCGTATATAGTGCTCATCAGGAGTGACAGTGCAGCAGGAAGGGGAAGTCAATAAAAAATGGGTTTCTCTATGATCCCCTTGGTTCCCTGGAGTAGCATTCCAGCTGGTTACACTGTATTCAGGTGGCCCTGGCAGCCATCTTGGGTCACGCAGAGTCTTCTTAAGTCCCTGCCCATGGGTTTTGGCACTCACTTGCGAAGTAGCTACTGTAGAGAAAGCATACCCATCTTTAAGGGACAGCACAAGCGGCAGAGAGAGGTTTTTGAGGTATAGGGAAAGTTCAGGGGCCACGTCTGCAACATCAGAAAACTCCTCTTTGGGTTGGACTAGCCAGGCTGTATTCTGCCCTCCTTGACAGGTGCTGTCTTGAATTTGGGCTTACTCGCTGCTGACTCTTCGCTCCATTGAATGTGATTTCTTGGTCTGGTGGGCTTCCCTGCCAGAGTGTTGTGCAAGTTTTTCAATACATTGGTTACTGCATTCTGGACCTCCGTGTGTTTACTGCTGCAGCACCACACTGCATATACCCAATAGAGTGACAGAATCTGACCTGCCAGCCCACTTATACTTATATTTCCAGTGTTCTCCCACCACAGGGGCGGACTGACAACTCATGGGGCCCCCGGGAAATGGGGGATCATGGGGCCCCTGTGACCTTGCCCAAACTCAAAAAAGCCTATGAAAAAGGTATCAGGGGCA